GGTACAAGATCTCAATGATGTATGTAAATGTATTTTATACCAAAAATGTACCAATAAACTTAATGGGGAAAAATAAAAAATAAAATAAAGTTCTCTCAAAGCCAGGTCTTAACTATATGGTTTTCTCTTAACCTTTCTAAAAATCTAGAAATAGACCCTCTCCTTTCATGATGACATCACTCTATTAGTTTTTGTTTTTTTTTAAACCAGCCCAGCTGTCCTGCAGAGTATCCCACCCTCGGCTTTGACCGCTTCCTGGTGGTGTGGAAGAATCATTTTGTTTCGCTGCACCCTATAAACATGGTAAACCAGCTCCTTTTCCTCTGGTCTTCCCCTCCACGGCTCACCGCTCACCTTTCCGAACCTGTATAAGCAGATCAATCCCTTCTTGGTAACACACTAATGCCTGCTGGTACCGGGACTCCGAATCTAGTTCCACCGCCCGCTTCAGCACAGTGATGGCAGTTTTGCCTTCCGGATCCCCTCGAACGTGCGACGTGGCCATAATTAAAACAATTCCCCTCCACCTCGGCCCCAGTTAATGTGAGCTGGGCTTAGTGCGCTTCCAGGAAATGGTCCTGTGACACGCTTGCGCCTGCGCCTTCCACCCTTAGTCCTTGAGTGGGAGGGACTGTAGCAGGAACTAAAGTGCGCCTCTCGGAACTCCTGGAACTAAAAGGTCGCGCACGCTGAGACGGCGGGGTTTGAGTGTTGCACTTGGTGTTCCTTTCTCCGCTCAGCTTCCGCTCTGTGCGGAAGTTCAGGGTGGACATTTATCGGCCACTGGTGAGTGGGCAATGAGAGGCTGGGAGTATTACCTTTTCCTCCAAGAGTCTATGTTTCTAGTTTTACTCCGCTGCGTGCTGATAGATTTCCCCTGTTCCATTCTGAGTTGGCGGGTCACACTTACTCAAACGAGTCTGTGTCCCAATTCCATCTCTTTGACTCCGGAAAACTATCGGCCGGCCAGATCCTGCATCCTTTTCTAGGGCTCCTGCGACACACTCTTGGAGCCCTGGACGGAGTCGCCAATGCTGGGCAGTTTGGGAGTGGGAATTAATTCATATGTGCTTTCTAATTGTTGTATCTGCTTTATTCATAACCGAGGGCTTCCACTGGGGATAAGTGACAATTTTTTTTGATGAAGGCAAAATTGTCTTATCTTAAAATCGCTATCTTTTAAAATGAAACTTTCAGGAACTAGCGGCTAAAATGTTTGCCATTTGCTAAAAACTGATTTTTGCAAGCATATTTTGATCACTGTCTACCCAGAGCTGCTTCAGCCTTTTTGCCCAAGTGGTAGTTTGTAGGGCTGCCTGTTCCCTTTTAGATACTAGGAGTACAGAGAAGAGAGAGACATTTCTTGCCTTCACAGATCTCGAGGTTTTTTTGGCAAGGGTAGTTTTATGTAGTTTTATGCATTTGTGTAGTAGGGGTTTTTTTCTCGCATAACTAAATCCATGTTTCTTTAGGAGAAGAAATTGCTTTTTAAAAGACCCTTTACATGCATGCCCACTGTAAAATAAAAACAAAACAAAAAACATCCGATATAATATTATCCATACAGCCTACCATACAGGGATATGTTAATGTTTTTTGACAGCTTTTTGGAGTTGTATACACACATCACGGACATTTTTTAAAAACAGGTATTTTCGGGCCAGGGATTTAGCTCAGTGGTTCTGGCGCCTGCCTCGAAAGCACAAGATTCCGAGTTCAATCCCCAGTACAAAAAAAAAGGTATTTTCCTGTTTTTATAGCTGTGCTAGAGAAGAGTTATTGTAAAGTAGAAGACAGTATCATTGCTTCTACATGGGTAAAAAAAATAAGCTCTACTTTATTATGATAAAACTTTTGGGGCTGAGGATCCAGCATAGCCATAGAGCAAATTTAACTAGTAGGTATGAGGCCCAGGTTCGATCCTCAGCGCCACAAAACAAAAAGAGAATAACTTGACTGTCACACCTTCTGATGTCTGTAAATTAAACTGCATTCAGCAAGTGTACAGTGAGTGCCTGCTATGGAGAAGGTGCTGCTTTAGGAAGATAATTAGGATATATCTGTTAATATATCAAACAACCAAAATTTTAAATTCTTTTTCCATGAAACTGACATGCTGTAAGTGGAGACAAACGCTCAACAACAAGTAAAATCAAGTTATGATACAAGATAATAAGTGCTGTTGGAAAAAAGAATAAGGGGTCAGGAGTGCTAACAGTTGCATGTGTCAGAATGTTAATGTAATCAGGGTAGACCTCATTAACAAGATGAGCTTTGAGACAAAAATTGAAAGATTTAAGGGGATTAGTCATGTCAGGATTGTTCTGCCAATTAAAAGGAACTGCTGCTTGACTAGTTTCAGGCCAAGCAAGAAATCAGCTTGTCTAGTGATACCCTAGATTTTGGGGATGAGACAGGGATAGAGGTGCAAAAGTGGCAATGAGGTGCAAAGGAATGGGATGTGGGGGTTAAGGACTTTGGCTTTCACTGTGATTAAATGAAGAGGCACTTTGGGCTTTTAAAAAAGTTAGCTGACTAGGAAAAGTTGTAAGGGTAGTATAGTATTCCTACATATACTGCATCCACTTTCCCCTTTTGATAATGTGTGTGTTAGAATTGATGAACCAATATTGATACATTGTTGATTAAAATCCATACTTATTTTTTCAGATTTCCTCAGTTTTTGCCAGGAACCTACATTACTTTTAATGATCATATCTTCTCATATTCTTCTTGCCTAGTTTCTCGGACTTTTCTTATTTTTTATGACCATGACAGTTTTGAGGCAGTTAGGTATTTAATGAAGTATTGTTTAAGTATTTTGCACAGTGGTCCTTAATTGGAGGTTTTCTCTTACAGTGGAGTTAGGGGTTTAGGGGTGAAACACCAGTGGTAAAATGTCATTCTTGTATCATGTGTACATGCTATAAGCTTTATTTTTATCATTGTCCATGTTAACCTTGATCACCTGGGTAAGGTGGTGGTGTTTGTCAGGTTTCTCTCCTGAAAAGCACCCCCCCTTTTTTTTTAGACAGTGTCTTGCTATGTAGTGCAGTTGTGCTATGTAGTGAACTCATGGCAGTCCTGCCTCAGCCTCCTGAGTGTTGGGATTACAGGTGTGCATCACTACAGCTGGCTTATTTTTTCCTTTTTCCATACTATTTGGGAACAAGTCATTAACCCTAGTTCATGCTAGGGATACATAGTTTTGATCTACTGCCTTGAGGGGAGAGCATCTACATGAATTATTAACAATTCTTCTGTACAAGAGTTTTATTTCTTTTCTCATTTATTTATTTAAATCATTATGGGCTTCAGACTGTATTTTTTGGTTCAGGTTCTAACCCAATACTTTAACTTTTTTTTTACATTTTTCTAGCTTTGGCCATTGGGCACTCTCTCAATTGGCCCCTATGTCCATTTAACATACTCCCATCATTTTACTTTTTTTTGGTGCCAGGGATCAAACTCGGGTCCTTGGGCTTGCGCAGCAGGCGGCGAAACCACTGAGCTAAATCCCCAGCCCTCATTTTACTTTTTATAGTAGTCACTCTGGCACTACTAGAGGCTCCAGACATCATCAGCATTTCTCCTTTTACTACAGAAGGCTGTTAGCAAGGTCTGGGCACTGAGTGTGTTCATTACTGGTTACAGTTTAGGTGCCATTGATTTTAGTTCCTCAGCTGATTCAGCTGACACTTCCGTGCATGCATATCTGTAAGGATTTCCATGCCCATAGTGTCTACACTAACCTAACCATGAGTTCCAACTTCAGCCGTGAGAAACCTTTCTCTTTCAAAGGTTTTGAACAGAGTGATGATATTTAATGAGCTGATTTGTTTCTGTCTGGGAAAAAGGCATTAGGGAGCTTGGAATGGAAGGCAGGCCAGTTTGGAGGATTTTGTTGAAATCTAAGTGATAAGAGAAAGATTTAATAAAGTATGAAGCCAAATGTGTTGTATTAGCTTATAATGCTTATCTTGCAAGGAAAAAGTATTGTAAAATAATTTAGCATTAAATTGGTTCAGCCAGGCATGGTGGTGCACACCTGTAATCTCATTGAGAGGCTGAGGCAGGAGGATTGCTGTGAGTTCATTGTTAAAGATGTTAAAAAATGATAGTAAACCCCCATTTCTCAGTTTTGTGGCATCAGCTAAGCTGTAACTCATTGGAAGGAAATGGTATATGACTAATTTTTTTTTTACTATGTTTGTGCTGTGTATTTATTTACCTTTGTTTTCACTATAGATGGCTGAGCCAGAAGGATCACACACAAGTTTGAGTGCAGCCTGGGCAATTTAACTAGAGCCTGTCTCAAAAACAAAAAATGCTGGGGATGTAGCTCATTATAAAGGTCCTGGATTCAATCCCCAGCACTGAAAAAATAAAAATAAATTCCCTTTATACTATTAAAATCATCAAGATTTGTTTTGGTTTTTTGTAGTACTGGGGATTGAACTTAGGTCCTTTGCAGTCAATTACATACATCCCCAGCCATTTTTAAATTTTTTTTTATTTTGAGACAGGGTCTTTCTTAGTCACTGTGTTGCCCAGACTGGGCTCAAATTTGTGATCCTCCTGCCTCAGCCTGCCAGAGTGTTGGGATTATAGGCCTGTGTCATCAGGCCCAGCTCCAAGGTTTTGTTAAACTTCAATCAAGCTAACACTTAACTTGCTGATTTGTTTTGCAGTACTAGAGAAGGAGGGACCTGTCCATTTCCAAAACATTTCACCAGTGGATCTATTCTATACTTCTTACAGCCTCTGAAGACAAATAATACTACACTATGGCAGGGATTTTGCGCATAGTGGTTGAAGGGCCCCCAGGCAGGCTACAGGTGAGTATTTCAAGAATTCTTTATTTTTTTCTTATTTTTTTTTCCTGATTACAATACATAAGGCAAATTCTTTTACAGATTCCTTTATATATGAATTTTTTTAATGTAAGCATTGATTTTGTTTATGGTTGATCTGCTATTTTATCCCTAATGATTTAGAATTACAGCTAAGAATGGTACCACACACCTGTAGTCCTAGCCATTTGGGAGGCCAAGGTGGGAGCATCAGTTAAACCCACATGTTCAAGACCAGCCTGGGCAACGTGGTCAGCCCCTGTCTCAAAAAAAATAAAAATTGGAATCATAAAACCTTTTTTCTGGAGAACATGTTAGTAAAAAACAGCCACTCTTGATTTCCTTAGGTCTGCCTTAATCCTAAAAGTTTTAGGACTTTTTTCCCATAAATTATGAAAATTGTATTTTTGTTTTGTTTTTGAGGCAGGATCCTGCTGTATAGTTCACACTGGCCTTGAACTCATTTTGTAGTCTAGGCTGGCTTCAAACTCGCAGCAATCCTCCTGCCTAAGCCTGCTAAATGCTGGGATTATAGGGTTGTACCACCACACCAGCTAAAAATTGTACATTTCAATCACAGAAAATTAGAAGAATACACAGAAACAGAAAGAAGAGAAACACTCCCAGAGGCAACTGATGTTAGAATTTTCATGTATTTCCTTCTATTCTTTGTTTAGAGAGTGCAACAATGTATTAACATATCTACACTTAAGAATGGGGTAGGGGTTGGGGATTTGGCTCAGTGGTTCCACCGCCTGCTGTGCAAGCGCAAGGACCTGAGTTCGATCCCCAGTACCCCCCCAAAAAAAGAACAGGGTTATTACAGACCTAGATGTAGACTAGGTCTTAAAATAGACCTGCTGTTGGCTGTCAACGGTAATAATGTGTACATTATCTTAACTTCTAATGGAGCCCATAAAATTGGTAGTTCTTTTAGTTCTGAGGAAACTGACCTCTGAGAGGATAAGTATGTCCTGTCTCACAACTATAAACAGCAGAACCAGTGTGTAGGCTCAGTGTTTTAGTGTAAAAGACCCACTCACCCACCCCCTCCCTGCCTCTTCTTTAGCTGTTGATGCCCTGTCTCTGCATCTGTTCCCTGCAGGGAAGGCTGAAAGGAATGGTGGGAGTGGCTGTCACTCATGCACATAGTACTTGGCTGGGGCGAAAGGTTGGCAGGGAATTCCCCCCTCTTGCCCCCCAAGCAGCCTGAGAAAAACAGGATCAGAGGAAGAAAGAGCAGGAACAAAAGATAGGAATTAGGAGTGAGGCATTGTTAGGACTAGAAAGAAAACTCACTTTGGATTTCTTTTACATTGTTTTATTGAAGATGAATTATTACTCATGGTCTAGAGCAAAAATTGGTAAACCATGGCTTTCAAGCCAAATATAGCCTGCCACTTATTGTTGTAAATAAAGTTTTGTTGAAACAGCCATACTCATTTGTTTGAAAATTGTGTATGATTTCTTTCACCCTAAATAGGCAGTCAAGTCCTACCAGTAGAGATAACTCAAAGCTGAACATATTTACTATTTGATCTTTTACAGAAAAAGTTTACTGACTCCTGGTTAGAGAGGAGGTTATATACGTCTATCTTTATAGTACATTAGTGGATAGAGGAGATACATTCATTCAGCCTGAGAGCTGAGATAAACTTTTAACAATTATAAGTTAGTTCAGAACAAACTCTTGACAACTAAAGATGGGTGGGTATGGATTTCTGCACTGGACAGGATTCTGAAAGAACAATTTTTTTATATCATATTTTAGACTGTGATAAAAGGTATGGAATCTCTCATGGGTACAGATTGGATTCGTCACAAATTTACCAAATCAAGAATTCCAGATAAAGTAAGAATTTTTTTGTTACTATTTTTAAAAATTATGTCTGAAAAGGTAGCCATTTTGTAATATTGAAAGTGTTTATGTTAAATTACATTTGGCGATAGTACTAAAGCAGGACTCAAAGGAAAACAAGTTATTCCTAGCTTTCGCCAGCCCCACCCACCCCTTGGATCACCCACCTCCCCCAGCTGTAAGTCCTTGTTCTGGTACAGATAAAATTGGCAACCGTCCTGTAAACAAAGTTTGTGTCATCTTGTTCTCAAAAGATTCACAAGGCTCTGTCTTCTTTCAAGGCTGTCCTTACCCTGCTTCTCTAAACTCACTTGCTACATCACTAGAAAGACCAATCCCTTTGACCAAATGTATAAAACTGGAGCCTTTCCTTTGTGCTGGGCTTGGCCTTTGGACATTAGTCCACCAAGTCAGTATACACGTAAAATTCTGTAATAAATTCTCCTGTATCACCTGTTAGTCTCTCCTCTTAAAATCTCACAACAGTGAAGCATTTAAAACATAGTAGGGAGACAGGGATTTAGCTCAGTGGTTCCAGTGCCTGACTCGCAACCTCAAAGTCCTGAGTTTGATCCTGGTACCAAAAAAAAAACATAGTAGGATTCCTGGAAATGATGATCTTAAAAAGATAAGTATGTTCTGTTAACCTGTACCACTGGCATCCATAGGGGTGGGTTTTTATTATTTCTGAGTCTGTTTGTTCCTGCTTATGGTTTTTCCCTGTATATGTGTTTTTATGTCACCATCATCATGGGAAAACACGAGGCCTTCCAGCCCAGGCTTGCTCTCTGTGACTCTTCACTTCCTTTATCCACCATTGCTACTTTGAATCTCTCAGCCTTTTCTATTAGATTCTTGTATACACATCCTTCTTTTAGAAAACATAAACTAACCCCTGTGTTGACTTTGGTTTTCATTTTGTTTTGCTTTGTTCATTTGCTTTTTAATTAATTGACTTTATTTCATCAAGTAGTTCCAGTTTACAGAATATTTGATCAGAAAGTGTGGAGACTTCCAATATATTCCCTCCCCTCAAAGTACAGTTTTCACTGGAGCTAACATCTCACGCTGTTGTGATACAATTGTTATAATTATTGAAATAACACTGACACATTATTATTAGTTAAAGGTCACAGTTTATGTAGGGTTCTCTCTGTGTTATATAGTTGTGGCTTTTGACAAATGCGTAGCATCATGTATTTATATTACAGAATATTGCAGAATGGCTTCACTGCCCTGAATATCACCTGTGCGCTACCTGTTCTTCCCTCCTAACTCCCAAACCCTGGCAACCACTGATCTTTTTAGAATTTCCATAGCTTCACCTTATCCAAAATGTCACTTGTAGTCACAATGTAGTTGAAATCATACAGTATATAGTCATTTCACACTGGTTTCTCTTAATGGTGTCCATTTAGGGTTCTTTTATATCTTTTTGCAGCTTAATAGCTTCTTTATTCTTATTGCTGAATAATATGCCATGGTATAGATTTACATAGTTTATTTGTACATTCACCTACCAACTGACCTCTTGAATCCTTTCAGATTGGGGCAGTAATAAAGTTGTATGAGTACTTGTTTGTAGGTCTTTGTGTGGACATGTTTTCAACTCATTGGATAAATATCCAGGAGCACAGTTGCGGAATTGTAGGGTAAAGTCTATGTTTAGCTTTGTGAAAGCTGAATTTTTTTGGTTTTTGTTTTTCGGTTTTTGGTATCAAGGATCGAACTTGGGACCTTGTGCTTGTGAGGCAGGCTGCAGAACCACTGAGTGCAGAACCACTGAGCTAAATCCCCAGTCCAAAAGCTGAGTTTTTTGAGGGGGCAGGGTGGGTTCCTTTCTTTCTTTCTTTCTTTCTTTCTTTCTTTCTTTCTTTCTTTCTTTCCTTCCTTGCTTCCTTCCTTCCTTCCTTCCTTCCTTCCTCTTTGCTTTTTTATTGTGGCAAAATACACAGAACAAAATGTATCATCTTAACCCTTAATTTCAGATTTTGGAGTTTTTCAGACTTTGGAATATTTAACTTTTAACAACTGAGCACCCCAATCTGAAAGTCTGAAATGTGCACTCCCTGAAGGTCGTGGACTTTCTGTTTTCACATGAAGGTGTTCCCCCTATAGTGCGAAGACATTCTCCTGGCATTTGAAATATATATATATTCAGTGTCATCTGATTCCTTTTGTTTTGTTCTACCAGTTAAAAAACAAAACAGCAGGCCTGGGGATTTAGCTCAATGGTTCCACTGCCTGCCTCGCAAGCACAAGGACCTGAGTTTGATCCCTGATACCAAAAAAAAATCCCAGCAAAATTCTTACCTGTGTGATATTTTTTTAGAGTATGAAATTTTAAATCTGTTTATCTGAATAGTTAGACTAGCATGGTAGAAATGTTCAGTTTGAGTTTGAGAATTATATAAAGATTAGGGATGATTGGGCCGGGGATTTAGCTCAGTGGTTTCGCCGCCTGCTGCGCAAGCACAAGGACCCGAGTTCAATCCCCGGTACCAAAAATAAAGATTAGGGATGAGATAATTATGTAGTGTGTGTGTGTGTGTGTGTGTGTATAAGAAAAAAATATGAGATACACAGAAACTATGTGTAAGTTGAAAATTTATTATTTCTAAATCTTCCCCTCTAGGTGTTTCAGCCTTCACCTGAAGATCATGAAAAATATGGTGGGGACCCACAGCACCCCCATAAACTGCATATTGTTACCAGAATAAAAAGTATACAAAGACGTCCATATTGGGAAAAAGATATAATAAAGATGCTTGGATTAGAAAAAGTATGCAACTACTTCAGTCATTTTTAGTGTTGTTTAAATTCACTTTAAATTTTCTGCTATTTAAATTTTGAGATATATATGTTCTGTGTTTAAATATATTACTGAGTGAAACTTATTTGTAATCATAAGTTTGATTTGGGTAGAAAAAGCCTTCCATTTAACATTGAAACAGGGCCATGTGCATTTTAAATTGACCTGTGACATTATTTCTCTTTATTCATAGGCACATACTCCTCAAGTTCACAAGAATATCCCTTCAGTAAATGCAAAACTGAAAGTGGTTAAACATTTGATAAGGTTTGTTGTTTATTATCTCAGCAGTTTGAAAGAAATGTGTCCCCAAGTATAACTCTAAATACGTTCTCTCATGTCACAGAATCCAGCCCTTGAAGCTGCCACAAGGACTTCCAACAGAAGAAAACATGGCTAACACATGCCTGAAGAGCAGCGGGGAGTTAGTAGTGCAGTGGCATCTGAAGCCTGTGGACACCTGTAATCCCAGCAGTTTGAAGGCTGAGGCAGGAGGATCATCAAGAGTTCAAGGCCAGCCCCAAGCTACATAGTTCAAGGGTAGCCTAAACTACATAGTGAGACCTTGACTCAGAAAACCAAAAAAACCCTGTGGAGCAGGAAACAAGTCCTGATGTTTTGGTAAATAAAAGCAAGAGTAGGGCCGGGGATTTAGCTCAGTGGTTTCACCACCTGCTGCACAAGCACAAGGACCCGAGTTCGATCCCCGGTACCCAAAAAATAAATAAAAGCAGGAGTTTGATAGGATGGCCTAGAATTGACATCAGCCCAAGGATGGATACAAAAGATGGCAGCCACTGGGCTCCTGGCCGCTGCTGTCTCTTCCACAGTGGCTACACTCACCCTGCAGAGTGAACTTCTTTTCCAACTTTTAATTAGCCCATGCTTGCTCAGTAGAGCATGTTTCTTTTCCTACCTACCTTTAATAAATGTAAAACCGCACTCACCACCTTTTGCCTTTGTCCAGTTCTTTGTTTGGGATAAAAAACCTAGAAAACACCTCTAGAAGGCATCCCCAGCACCCCAGAACCTGGTAACAAAAGGACGCTAAATTACATGTGCTCGGTCTAGTTGGGGAGAGACCTGTATGTCACATTGTAACATTTTCTTTCCTGCTGGGAGGTTGAAGATGTCTTGGTAAATAAAAGCAGCTCCTGCCAAATGTGCCATATCTTAATGTGCTAATATTAATATTGTATAGATTGATGGAGAGTACATTGGCTAATAAAGTATGGGTAAATATTCAACAGCCCACAGAGTAAGAGATCTAAATGTTAAGTTGAACATCTACAAACAAAATGATCTATAAAAAGGAAAAAGCCATTAGTATGGGCACACCTCAGTACATTTATCTTCTTTCCCTTTTTCTTTTCCCCTTCCCTCCCCTCCCCTCCCCTCCCCTTCCCTTCTTTTGAAACTGGGACTTCCTACATAGTCTAGGCTGTCCATGAATTCATGGCCCTCCTCTTGCCTCAGCCTCCTGAATGCTGGGATTATAGGTGTGCACTACCACACCTGGCCAGGGCATTCATTTTCTATTGCTGCAAAACAAATGACCACAAATGTAGCTAATTACACTCAGACACATAAATCGGGGAAAGGGTTAAAAATGTTGAGAGTTGCCAAAATGCAAGTGTTTGCTGAAATGACCTTGGCTGCTATCTTCTGCAGAGATACTAGCTATTTCCCCTGGGAAAGAACTGTTATGTGCAGATTACTCTTGAGAGCATTGTGAGTGCCCTTGGTTTTAGCCAGGCCCAAGACACTGCTCTAAGACATGAAGGCCTGTTGGTACCATGCCACTTTTGTCTAAACATAATACTTAAACTAACAAGATGGATACAGTGCTGGTGTTTTCTCTTGCTTCTGCCAAGGGCTCCATCTCATGCAAGATCCTTCCCCAGGAGATTCCCCATTGCTGGTGCTGTCTCTTGCCTCATGTAGTAATGTACTGTTGGACTATACTCATATCTGCTGTCCTTTTTCTATTTTATATTTTAACTTTCTTTCACCTATATAAAACTCATGATGTGACTCTTCTCTATTGGTGCAGATCCAATCCTCACTTTCTGCAGCCACGTGTATGTGGCTCCTTGTTACAATGTATTATCTCAGTTTCTGTGAGGCCTAAGTCTGGGCAGTTAGCTGGGCTGTCGGCTTGGAACCTCACAAGCCTGCAAATAGTCTGCCAAGGCCATGTTCTCATCAGAGCCTTGACTGGCAAATGACCTGCTTCCAAACTCGGAGGTGGTTGGCAGAATTCATTTCCTTGTGGCTATAAGACTGATGTCAAGACAGGGGCCCCTGGGGATTTAGCTCAGTGGTTTCGCTGCCTGCTCCACAAGTGCAAGGACCCGAGTTCAATCCCCGGTACAAAAAAAAACAGATAACCAAGACTGATGTCAAGTTGCTTCTTTAAAGCTGCTACTAAAGCTGGGCACAGCCCACACCTGGAATCTCAGTACTTTGGGAGGCTGAGGCGTAAGGAACACAAGTTCAAGCCTAGCCTGGGCAACTTGGCAAGATCCTATCTCAAATTTTAAAGGGGGGCCGGGGCTCAGGATGTAGGTCATTACAAGGCCCCTAGGTACAATCCCCAGTACCAAAAAAAAAAAAAAAAAAAGCCCTACCTACCAAAAAATAGCACCAAAGAGAAACTCTAGCCAGGTGGGTTGGCACTATTAAGTAACCACATAAATATGATCACAGACATTCCATTACCTTTGTTGAGTTTCCCTGACTAGGAGCTAATCACAGGTCCTATGCCCTCTCAAGGAAGAGAGGAATTGCACAAGTGTGACTCCCAGGAGCAGGGCTCATGGGGACCTCCTTTCAATGTATGGGACAAGCCTGTAAGGCCACCCCAGAGCTCATCCCAGGGGCTGCAGAGTTGATAAGGGCTCCGGATACCATTCCTTTGCCTCATGTTAGTCATTTCAAAACCTAAGGATGTGTTTCTTGGTCTTGACTTTGTGTCTCAGAGGATTGCTTTGTTTGGTCTCCTGTGCTGTAGTTTATCTGGCCTCTGATTGTTTGCCACTGGCCATTGGTCAAACTCAGAGGGCACTAAGTTACCCAACCACTATCCTTAAGGACCACTGCAATTCTCCTAGGGTCTGTACAACATAACTCTGCCCCTTTCAGGCCAAGCACCTGTTTCTTTACCTCTTCACGTTAGAAGTACTAACTAGTATGCTTATTAACTGGCACAGCTTTGCCAAGGGCAATTTGGAGTTGCACACACCATTTTAGGGAGATTTTGACATGAAGATTGTTTCTCTGAGCCCTGAATAATGCAAAGTAAAAGTCAATATATAATTTTGGTAAACTTTTTGCCCAGAAACTCCTTTTAAAAATCAGATTATTTTCTATTTTTAGATTCTTGTCTCGTTATGTAGTTCAGGATGGCCTTGAACTCATTATGTAGCGCAGGGTGGCCTTCAGCTCACTTTGATCCTCCTGCCTCAGCCTCCTGAGTGCTGGGATTGTAGGCATGTGCCACCATGCCTGAGTTAAAAGGCTTTAGATCAGTGATGGAAAATCTTTTAGAGACTGAGTGCCCAGACTGCATCCCAAAATCCACTTATTTACTGAAAAGTGCCAACTCTGCAATTAAACCTGAATACTGAGGTTTTAGTTTAGAAAAATCAACTCATACATTATTATCTTTTGTGTTAAAAAGAACAGAGCTTTCAATGCTACAAATAGCTTTTTATTGAAAGATAAAAGTTTGTGTTTGGCATGCTTTTGCACAGTTAACGTGATCTATGTTGTATGCATGCTGGTAATTTTTCATATCCTAGATGGGGTGACTTGGCTCATGTGCCAACAGAGAGGGCTCTGCGTGCCCACTGCAGCATGAATGTCATAGGTTTGCCACCACTAAAGTTGTGTCTCCTCACCCAAATGTCTTAGGAGAATGAATATTATGTCTGGCTGAGAAACACTTCCCTTACCTGCTTTTGTAAAGTCAAAAGCTGTTATGAGAGTCCAAATGGAGGGTACAGTTAGGAACACTAATTAAGGTAATAGTCTTTAGGAGAAGCCAATCATGTGCCGCATGCCTGTAATTCCAGCACTCAGGAGGATGAGGCAAGAGGATCACCTGAGTTCGAGGCCAGTCTGGGCTACATGGTGAGTTCAGGACCAGTCTAAACTACATATAGAGAGAGCCTGTCTCAAAAAAAAAAAAAGTTTGTAGAAAAATCAGTATATTTGAGTACTTAATGTTAAGTGGTTATGTCTTTTTTTCCTGACTGTATTAAGGAGGTGGACTTTTGCCTGAGAGGTATTCCCTCTGCCTAGTATTGTTGAAACAGAAATCGGAAATATCTCACAGGACTTTGACCATCAGTGCTAAGAGCATTATTGGAAGTCACAGGTGTAGAAGCTGAGACTTATATCATGGTTTTCCTAACCACAGTGCTTCAGAGACTGAATGTACAGTTCTATTATGTCACAGGGCATATGTGGCATTGATGACCAAGAGGAAGAAAAGATGAGAATATAAATCATGAATGGGTCCATCCAGGGAAATATCTTTTAGATTTCTTTTTCATTAAAAATTATAAGATAATCCTTTTTTCCTTTGCTTCATCAATGTCACTAGTACTTTAATATTATTTATAAGAAAAGTTTTTATTGACCTCGATTAATATCTTACATTACTCTCTGTACACAGCTTCCTTTCTGTTGTTGAGTGAAGTGCCTTCTCTGGTTTTATATATATATTAGTAATGTTTGCAGTACATAATGTTTACACTCCTGGGGTGAATCGGTGCCTGTACATAACACAGCTTAATTCCTTTTTTCATCCCCTCCCCCTCCCTTCCCTCTCCTTCTCCCTCCATCTCTTCATCTCCTTCCCATTTGAGAAAGATCCATCTCCCTGCTTCCTATTACCTTTTATTTTGCTCTTTATTTATAATTTGAGCTTCTCATATAAGAGAAACTATGTAATATTTAAGCTTCTGGGTCTGATTTATTTCACTTAACAATATGGTCTCATGGTGCATCTATTTTCCTACAAATGACTAGTTTATCTTTATAGCAGAGTGATCCATTGTGTGTGAATACCACATTTTCTTTATCCATTCATCTACTGATGGACATATAGGCTGCTTCCAAGATTTAGCTATTATGAGCTGTGCTGCTATAAACATGGGTAAGCATGAGTCACTGTACTATGATGTCTTTAACTCAGGAAGATACCTTGATGGAGAATATCTGGGTCAAATAGGATTTCTAGATTCCATTTTTAGAGGAATCTTCGTACTGGTTTCCATAGTGGTTGTACTAGTTTACTTTCCCACCAGCAGTATAAAAGAGTTCCTCTTCCCGCAGTCTCCCAAGCACTTTGTTATTATGTGATTTCTTGATGATGGCCATTCTTTCTAGGGTAAGATGGAATCTCAGTGTTGTTTTATACTCTTTTTTGGTACCAGGGCTCGAACTCAGGTCCTTGTGCTTGCAGGGCAGGCGGCGGAACCACTGAGCTAAATCCCCGGCCCTCTCAGTGTTGTTTGATTTGCATTTCTCTAATGGCCAGTGATATTGAGCATTGCTCAATGTATTTATTGGGCATTTGTACTTCTTCTGTGAAGTGTCTGTTCATTTAACACTTGTCCATTTTTTGATTGGGTCTTTTAGTGTGAGGGTCTAAGTTTTTAAAGTTCCTTATGTATTCCCTGGACCTTCAGAACCCTCAGCTGATTTGCATTTCTGTGCCTGTGGCCTTTTGTTCTTGGAAATACAGAACACTGTGCTGCCTACATGCTTGGCAGATCATAGCAAAGAATCACAGACCCACACACACACACCTACAGGTCTGTTGGCTCCTGTTCCTCTTGTAGAGTAATTCTGATATGTGTTTTGCATTAATCCTTATATCTTTCTTGCAAGGTTGAGCTTGGGGGCCCACTATTAGCATGTTCTATTAGCTTCCTTCCCTTCCCTGTATCACTAGCCACTTCATACCAGGTTCCCTGTACCTCTAAGATTGACTACCTGCCCTCAGATTCCCGTGTCAGAGTCTGCATCTGGGGCAAGCAAACTAAAACACCTTGAGTATGGAGTCTCCTGTCAGATACCTCCTAGTGTAAAGAGAATAACAGGAGAGTAGGCTCAGGGATTAAGTCAGTGTACCAGTTCTTTTTTTGCAAATTACTTGAAAATTATTTTGTCTGGATGTACTTTATCCTTGTAACAGCAACATCAAAGGGGCTGGTGACGAGGTGGCACAAATGCTTGTGGGGAAATGATTCTGGAGCAAAGTGAACATCTAAAGAAGGTCTTGCATTGCCCACATGCAGGAATGAGAATCAAAAATGTTTAACAGCTAATTCGGCTGACTGCAAAAGATAATTATGCCGCCACACCATCTAGCTGTTGGCTCTTCCCAAGGCAACAGAGATTCCTGGTTCTGCTGGGGTCAAATCATCAGGCAAGGGTTGGAGGTTGCTGCGCAAAGAAGGGTTTTCTTGGCTTTCCCCAAAGTGGCTCCCAGGTAAGTGGCTATGATTTTGATTCCTTCTCAGAAAGAGAAGTGACAGGGAAGGAAGCCAAAAGCCCAGCAGGGGCCATACTGGCAGGGACTTTGTGACCTTCACACTCCAACACATTGTGTGTTCTCCTGACTACGCAAGTAAGAGTCACAAACAGCACTGGTTTCCTCCTAGAGAATTCTCTCTCTCTCCCCACTGTAGGTAGCGTGGGCAAAACCAAACAGCAGAGCAGCCAAGGGGTAGGTGTGTATTTGCCCTAAGTCAAACCAACCAGAGTCTTTCCCTGGCACTGTGTAAGTGATGGACAGATTGGGGGAAGTCTTTGGAGTTCATTTGTGCAGTAAGGGTGATACTTCATACTACGAGGTATGGCTAACTGATTGCTGTTTCCCAGACCTGAATTGCCTGGTTTCTTCTCTCTCTCTTTCTTTTTCTTTCTTTCTTTCTTTCTTTCTTTCTTTCTTTCTTTCTTTCTTTCTTTCTTTCTCTTCCTTCCTTCCTTCCTTTCTTGTCTCTTTGTTTCCTTATCTCACTATATAGTTTAAGCTGGTCTTGAACTCACCATGTAGTCCAGGCTGGCGTTGAATGTGTGGCAATCTTCCTGCCTCAGCCTCCTGAGTGCTGGGATTATAGGCATGCTCTATCAAGACTGACTAGAGTTGTCTGGTTTCTCTTTATGTCCTCAGTTGGTTCTATACCCCTTCTAGTAATTTTACTGCTTAAAATTTCCAGAAATGTCCACTTTTCGCTTCTGACCAAAGAATCATAATTAATTTAGGTGTCATATGGTTATCTTCAGCCATGTCTTGTGGGCAGCAGACCTCTGAGAAAGAAAGTTTTTGGCAGTGAATACTGAAAACAGGAGAAAAGAAGTCAGTGCATGGATCTTCTGCAAACAAGAGACACAGGAGGTTGGTATGGGCCCGAAGGACGTGGTGTCCATCACTTGAAGGTCACTCTGTCAGCGTTCAGTTATTTATGGGACTGGAATTCCATCTGTGCCTCTTCCTTTGTCAACAGGAGAACTGGCTGATGAGCCAGGAAGTTCTTATAAGCAAAGCCCTTCTGCTCTGGGAAGACACTGGGAAAGAGATTCAGGTTGGGCTCACTTAACTTCTTGGTAGTAATTCTGGTAGGGAGGGTATAGGTGGGCATTTAAACCATGGTGTACATCGGCACTGAAATCATGAAGAAAAGAGGCCATGCTGGAATATGTAGGTGTCACCGCCATCATATCCACACTGACTACAAAGCAATTGTTATGTCTGCCTGTGTACACTCATGGGAACCATATTGTGAACTGGGTCTTTCTTTCTTTCTTTCTTTCTTTCTTTCTTTCTTTCTTTCTTTCTTTCTTTCTTTCTGTCTGTCTTTCTCTCTTCCTTCCTTCCTTCTTTTTTTCTGTGGTGCTAAGGAAAACATCTGGGGCTTGCAAATGCTAGGCAAGCATCCCACTAAGCTACAGCCCCAGCCCCTCTTTTTCTTTTTCTTTTTCTAATGCTTATTTTCATTAAGAAAATTTGGAAATGTATTTTCTTTCATAATTTTCATCTTATCTTTACCAGTGTTGTGTACAACTCATTGGTATCAAACTCTCACCAAGAAACCATCTGAATGACCTCCAATGTGGTTTTACCTAGAAGCCATGGCTTTTATAGAATCGAGCTCGGGCAATAACATCATTCACGTAGTCAGAGTCGATATTTTCTGGGGCAGCAATGGCTTCTGTTCCTGACTTAAAGGCAGAGAGACCACCTGAAATGAAGCACAGAGGTTTAGACTTTAACAGGAACTGTCGGTAGAGATGAGATACAAGTCCTCCACCTGCCTCCCTTCCTGAAAGGATATACTTCCTCCAGGATCACTAGCAAGGTTCCAATTTGTTTTCTTTCTTTCTCTTTTTAACTCTGGTTTTTCCTGCTTCAAGAGTCAAATTTGCTTTTTATGTAGTCGAGAGCCGGCAGAACCAGATGTACAGCAAATCTGATGTCTGAGATGGTAACATTATCTCATTTATTCAAGAATTCACTCATGTATTCACTCATTCATTCAATAAGTGTTCTTTTAAAAAATAAAATAGGGAAGGAGGAGCCCCACTCACAAACAGAAGATAGGTAAATAGGAAGTAGGAAGATCTTTTTCAAATTAATGGAAGAACAAGAAATGGAGGGAGAGGAGATGGAAGGAAGGAAAGGGGGTGGAAAGAAAAAAGAATTGAATAGGGAAAAAGACAAAAATAGAGCTTTTGCAAATGGGAAGGGGGCCAAGAGTTGGAAGGACCATAGATGGAGAAGAGGGGGAATGAAAAAGAAAATAATTAAGATGCATTATGTACACGTACCAACTCCCCATGATAAACATAATCATTATGTACCACAAATACGTACTAATAAAAAGAAAAGATACAATGTTTTCAGATAGCCACTATGTGCCACTCTGAGGGCAAGGTACCCAACACATATTCATTTCCTTGTAGGGGCATATGCACATGCAGGTGCTGTTTTACCCTGGAATTTTATCTGCAAATATTTATTTATGCATTTAACAAAATGGTACCCTGCTCTTATGTCACACACACAAAAAAGGTCCTAGTCCAGATTCCTGCCTTCACGGGCCTTGCTTGTTCTTAGTTCAGACTGGGAAACTGGAAGGAGGGGAGAGACCTGCACACTCTGGGTCTACAGAAGGCCAACGAAGGAGCTGGTATGGCTGGGTATAGACAGGAGTGGCCAGCAAGCCCAAGAAAGCAATCTGGTTTTCTGGCTGGCATGACTGGTTACATTCATGGTGTCACCAAAGATACAGAAAATGCAGGAAAAAAGGGCAGAGAGGGAGGCTAGTGAGTTCCTCCCCTCTGGGAGATGCTGAACTGGAGGGCTTGCATTCTGTTGAGCTGAGATTTTCATCTTGACTTTTCAGAATGCCCGAACCCCTGAGGATGCTCACAGGGTGAAAACTTACTCAAACACTCTGGGAAATGGTTAACATCTTGCACTTGCGAAAGCCTATGAGAAGAAGGTGACATTCTCTTAAATTACTGCATTTATTCTCAAGGCATCAGTCACGGCTTATTACTGACAGAGATGCCATAGGAGCTCAACAGGCTGTAGAAAGGGAAAGAGGCTGGCGAAGGTGCTGGGTGGGGAGGACCCCTGGGAGGCTCGGAGCACATCTGACATTTCATCTCTTCACTGCTCATTTAACGAAGCACTAAATATACAGCCTACCTTTGAGGTGCTGATCCACGCTCCACATGGGGAATTTTCTCTGGATCACCTTAATGTTTTCCGCTAGAATCCCAACACCCTGTGAAAGGTGTTCTTTGCTGTCCCAGGCACCAGTAGGATGAACACTTTTATCAAGCTGGAAAATGCAGATAATAACATCAGCATCGGAATCAGGCAACATTTCTCTGCTGTTTGGAATTTTTCTTCCCAGGCTCAGCTTCCTAGATGCTGGGAAGCCTTTTCCTTTATCTCCCAAAAGTCAACTCTTCTGACCTGTCTGTCACAGCGAAGAGGTAGAAACAAAAGAAAGGTTGGGAGAAGCAGACATGCGTAGTTTTAGCTAAGCATGCTAAAATTCAAGAAGAGGAAGAGGATGAGGAGGAGCAGGAAGAGCAAAGTTGTTTCAAAACCATTAGCAACCAATGTCCAGCAATTTGTACTTTAAAATTTTTTTTCCAAATAATTCAAATAAAAATTGGCTTCTAACTCAGAAACCTGAAGTCTGGGCTTCTATATACAATGTAACATAGAAAGCAAATATCCAGGTAATTTGGATCCTTTTCTTCAGGTTATCCCAAGGAAAAAGTCCAAGTGGGCCTGGTTATGTGTTTCAATTCACATGGGTGAAATGTACTACTTCAGGAACCCCAAGAAACACCTGTAATAATAGTGCTTTCTATAAAATTCTCTCAGTTGAAGTATATTGCATATTACTTATCGCAGAATTGTAGTTATGATTCCTATAAAACACTGCTTTGTTTTTGTACTGAGGACTCAATACAGGGCCATTGCATGAGCTACATTCTGAGCCTGTTTTTTATTTTGAGACAGGGTCTCCCTAAGTCCCTAAATAACCATGCTGGGGTCAAACTTGTGACCCTCCTGCCTCAACCTCCCAGAGTGCCGAGATGACAGGTGTAGCTAGCCTGCCTGGCCATCTAAAACACCTCAGAAGAGATTGAGTAACTGAAAATCCTGTCATGAAGTATCAGACGGGTCACAGAATCCCAGGACGAGTGATGGTGAAGCACCTGTACCCAGGGGCCTGGGAGCTCTGCAGCTGAGTTTCTGGTTGGGGCTGAGCTTCTGCGAGGAAGGATGAAGCCCAAATACCTGCATCAGGCCAAACTTCAGTCCCCTGTGGTCCCAGCCACGCTGCAGCACGACACCCCCGTGGCTCTCTCTGGAGATGACAGCCGCGATGAGCGCAGGGTCCACGCAGTACCTCTGCCCCACTTCTTTGATCAGAGTCTGGTAGGTCCTTATGGCATTCAGATCCATATCGGCAAACATTTCAGAACCACGGATCCCTAAGCGACAGAAAAAAAGACTGCTTCCCTCATTCTGAAAGAGGGCCCTTTTTCCTTTCTTCTCTTTCTTTCTTTTTTGGATTTCTGTTTTTTTGTTTGTTTGTTTTATTCAAAGACAGCCACCCCTCTCCCAGCACACCCACAAGCCACTATGGCAAAGGCAACGAGAGGGTGAAGATTAAGTTAGAAATGACAGTATATTTATTCTTTTTTTTGTATTAAATTCTTTTATTGGTACATTGTAGGTATACAACACAGTTACATTTCTCATTGGGAACTTGGACCTTTACATAATGCATCTTGGTTCTTATTTTTTCCCCATTCCTAGCCTTCCCTTCACGCCCTCCACCCTTCCCTATTTACAAAGACTTTATTTCCATTTTTTCCATTTCTCATCATTTTTCCTTTCCCTTCT